TGATGATGCATTACCGAGTGGGCCCAGGAGTGACAAATCCCAGTCTCGATTCGTGCCAACCCAACAGACACTTTCGGAGATACATGTAGTGCACCTTTATAGCCACCCAGTTACGTTGTGACGTTTGGTACACCCAAAGCATTCCTACGGTATCCGGGAGTTGCACAATCTCATGGTCTAAGGAAATGATACTTGATATTATAAAAGCTCTTAGCAAACGAACTACACGATCTTGTGCTATGCTTAGGATTCGGTCTTGTTCATCACATCATTCTCCTAATGACATGGTCCCGTTTTCAATTACATCCAATGTCCATGGTCAGGAAACAATAACCATCTATTGATCAATGAGCTAGTCAACAAGAGGCTCACTAGGGTCATGTTGTGGTCTATGTATTACGGTTTCCAGTTAATACAATTATAGCATGAACAATAGACAATTATCGTGAGTAAGGAAATACAATAATAACCATTTTATTATTGCCTCTAGGGCATGTTTCCAACATCATCATCTTGTGCCTTTGATCTCCATCTCCAAAGCACCGTCATGATCTCCATTCTCACCGGCTTGACACCTTGATCTCCATCGTAGCATCGTTGTCGTCATGCCAACTATTGCTTCTACAACTATCGCTCGCTTAGTGATAAAGTAAGGGAATTACATGGGGATTGCATTTCATACAATAAAGCAACAACCATATGGCTCCTTCTAGTTGTCGATAACTTTGTTACAAAACATGATCATCTCATACAAAAATTTATATCACATCATGTCTTGACCATATCACATCACAACAAACCCTGCAAAAACAAGTTAGACGTCCTCTACTTTGTTGTTGCAAGTTTTATGTGGCTGCTACGGGCTTCTAGCAAGAACCGTTCTTACCTACGCATCAAAACCACAACGATTTTTCGTCAAGTGTGATGTTTTAACCTTCAACAAGGACCGGCCGTAGTCAAACTCGATTCAACTAAAGTTGGAGAAACACACACCCGCCAGCCACCTGTGTGCAAAGCACATCGGTACAACCAGTCTCATGAACGTGGTCATGTAATGTCGGTCCGGGACGCTTCATCCAACAATACCGCCGAATCAAAGCAAGACGTTGGTGGTAAGCAGTATGACTATTATCGCCCACAACTCTTTGTGTTCCACTCGTGCATATCATCTACGCATAGACCTGGCTCGGAATGCTACTGTTGAGGAACGTAGCATGCAATTTCAAAAAAATTCCTACGCTCATGCAAGATCCATCTAGGAGATGCATAGCAACGAGAGGGGGAGAGTGTGTCCACGTACCCTCGTGGACTGAAAGTGGAAGCGTTAGGTTAACGCTGTTGATGTAGTCGAACGTCTTCACACGATCCAACCGATCCAAGTACCGAGCGTATGGCACCTCCGTGTTCAGCACACATTCAACTCGTTGACGTCCCTCGAACTCTTGATCCAGTAGAGGGTCGAGGGAGAGTTCCGTCAGCACGATGGCTGGTGACGGTGTTGGTGATGTGATCCATACAAGGCTTCGCCTAAGCACTACGGCGCTATGACCGGATGAGTAAACTGTGGAGGGGGGCACCGCACACGGCTAAGAGAACAATTGATGTGCCTTTGGGGTGCCCCTGCCCACGTATATAAAGGAGGGGGGAGGGAGGCTGGTGGCCAGGAGGGGCGCGCCATGGGGGGAGTCCTACTTGGACTCCTAGTCCAAGTAGGATTCGGCCCCTCCTTTTCCTTTCTCCACCGGAGGGAATAGGAAGGAGAGGGAGAGGGAAAGGGAAGGGACGCCGCCCCCTCCTCCTTGTCCTATTCGGACTCCCTACAAGGGGGGCGCGCGGACACCCCCTGTGGGCTTCCCTCTCTCTCCCTTAGGCCCATGTTGGCCCAAAACTTCCCCGGGGGGGTCCAGTAACCACTCGGTACTCTGAAAAAATATCCGAATCACTCGGAACCATTCCGATGTCCGAATATAACCTTCCAATATATGAATCTTTACCTCTCGACCATTTTGAGACTCCTCATCATGTTCGTGATCTCATCTGGGACTTTGAACAAACTTCGGTCACCAAAACACATAACTCATAATACAAACCGTCATCGAACGTTAAGCATGCGGACCCTACGGGTTTGAGAACTATGTAGACATGATCGAGACACATCTCCGATCAATAACCAATAGCGGAACCTGGATGCTCATATTGGCTCCTACATATTCTACGAAGATATTTAACGGTCAAACCGCACAACAACATACGTTGTTCCCTTTGTCATCAGTATGTTACTTGCCCGAGATTCGATCATTGGTATCTTCATACCTATTTCAATCTAGTTATCGGCAAGTCTCTTTACTCGTTCCATAATGCAACATCCCGTAACTAACTCATTAGTCACATTGCTTGCAAGGCTTATAGTGATGAGCATTACGAGAGGGCCCAGAGATACCTCTCCGATACACGGAGTGACAAATCCTAATATCTATCTATGTCAACCCAACAAACACCTTCGGAGACACCTGTAGAGCATCTTTATAATCACCCAGTTATGTTGTGATGTTTGATAGCACACAAGGTGTTCCTCGGATATTCGGGAGTTGCATAATCTCATAGTCAGAGGAACATGTATAAGTCATGAAGAAAGCAATAGCAATAAAACTTAACAATCATTATGCTAAGCTAACGGATGGGTCTTGTCCATCACATCATTCTCTAATGATGTGATCTCGTTCATCAAATGACAACACATGTCTATGGTCAGGAAACATAACCATCTTTGATTAACGAGCTAGTCAAGTAGAGGCATACTAGGGACACTTTGTTTTGTCTATGTATTCACACATGTACTAAGTTTTCGGTCAATACAATTCTAGTATGAATAATAAACATTTATCATGATATAAGGAAATATAAATAACAACTTTATTATTGCGTCTAGGGCATATTTCCTTTATCGTACACCAAGCCCATGCCTGGGCCCAGATTCGGCCGCGCCGTCGCCGATCCGGTCACGCCGCCACCGTCCCTAGCGACCGCGATGCCCCAGATGGAGACCCAAATCAAGAGCGAGACGACCCCGACCGAAACCCCGCCACCAGCGCCACCGCCTCCTAGCGGAGAAGTCGCCGAATCCATCCGTCCCTGCCGCCGGGAATCCAGCCGGACGCCGCCGCACAGCCGACCCACACCGCCGCCACAATGACCAGGGGAAGGAGGGAGAGACCTCGCTGCCGCCCGCGCCGCACGGGCTTTGCTCGGGAACGCTCTCTGGCGGCGGCGAGGGCGAGGAAGCGTTGGAGAGGAACGAGTCACCGGCGGCCGATCTAGGGTTCCCGCGACGCGCGTGGGGTGCGCGTCGCGGGAGCGGGCGGGGATGCAAGTTAGTTTTGCAGCTTTGTGAAAAGTTGGAGCGCTGTTGACAAAATGTAGGTTTAATAGAAGCCACTATTTTATTTCTACAATGTTTAGCCTTGACAAGTTGCCACAGATCCATTTTGAGTCTCCAATTTCCACCACCACTTCACAAGGAGAATGATATTTTGTTTTCTAATAACCTTTCATCCCAAGACCAACTTTAATCTGGATCTAAAAACTCTGGTCCATCTCACCATATGATATTTCTTCTGCCATAAAAATGTCCTCCAATGTTTGTACCATTTTTCAATTTGAGTTTTATTCATAAGGAACATGGACAACACAGGATTCAACAGGATATTTGTATACCCCCACCCCATTGACATATCACTACCCTTGTAGTCATCACCAGTTTTGATGATTTCTTTTCCGCAAAATCCCAATCCGCCATTTTTAAACTACTGTAGCTAATACGGACCCCAAGTACTCCCTCCGTCTGAAAATGTAAGACTTTTTTGACACTATGATAGTTCGCCCAACGTAACAATTGAACATTTCACCGTATGTGTTGGACTGATGGAATCATCTCCACCAATACAAAGGACCTTACTTTTCATGTAATTTATTTTAGCCCCAAACATGATCTCAAACAAATACAACTGTAATTCAAGTTAATGGACTTCTCTATATCATGTGAAATACAAATAATAGTGTCGTCAGCACATTGTAAAAATGGCAACCACATTAGAGATCAAATCAGCAGCTAGACCAGTTAGGAGACCATTTTGTTGAGCTTTCATTACCATCCAATTTGCAACAATGTTAAACAGGAAACAGGATAGGGGGTGTCCTTGTCTGACCCCCTTTGCACTTTGAAATTAAGTTTCACTTCCAGTCTCGTTATTAAGCTTAGTCCCATTAAACACTTTGACCATTTTTCATCGAACCCTCTCAAAGTATCACATTCAAGTAGGTAATCTCAGTCCACTTTATCATAAGCCTTCTCAAAATCAAGTTTGGATACAATTCCAACTTGTTTCTTTACATGATTGCAATGTGAAATTTCATGCAACACCATCACCCGATCCATAATGTTTCTCTTCTTTACAAAAGCATTTCGATCAATGCTAACAAGTTTGTCCACAAATGGTTCAAGCCTAAGGTCATCACCTTAGTGATAAGTTTATAAATGCACCTAAGAAGGCAGATAGGTCTGAATTGTTAAATCTAGTTAGCAAAGAAAATCTTAGGTAATAGTGTGATTACTCCATAGTATAAACACTGCACATCTAAAGTGCCAGCATATGTGTTTGCTTGATATATACATCATTTTGTCTTCTGTTGATATGTGTTGTTCAAGATAGTTTCTCATCGTGCTTATGTTTTTTGCACAATACACATATCCAGTAATTTTGCACACAAGTAGTCAAGTAACGTAAGCGCATGTTCCAGATTGTCTAGAAATTCACAAGCGCATGTTTTCAAAACCTGAAAACCAGTTGGGTGACCGACTAGTCGCACAAAATCTAGACTCAACAAATAGCAAGTTGTTCGCTTGTTTCAGAAAATATTTTCTTATTGTATTTGCATTTAACTATGAGTAGCTTACGATTATGTGTCTGGCCTGTGTTTAACAGATCATGTTGTCAACTTAGACGGAGCACTTGAGTTCCCGTTGTTTCACAGGGACCATCCATGCGTCCAGCAACACCTCGGCAATACGAGGTCATCTGGAAACATCGTTGAGATGGACCTGCCGCTGCCGATTGACTTGATACAGAATGACGATATAAACAACTTCCTCTTTCTGATGCCCATCAAGCTGGGCACGCCACCGGTCTGGAATCTTGTGGCAGTTGACACTGGAGCCTCACTTTCTTTTGTTCAGTGCCAACCATGCACTCTCCGGTGCCACAAGCAATCTGATGCCGGGGAAATATATGATCCTAGCAAGTCGGAGAGTTTCAGTCATGTTGGGTGCTCAGAAGAGAGCTGCCGCACGGTCCAACGGGCGCTTCGTCTCCAATCCAAAGCATGCATGGAGAAAGAGAACAGTTGCCTCTACAGTATGACGTTCGGAGGAACATATTCATATTCCGTCGGCAAGCTAGTGAGGGACAGGCTCGCAATTGGGCAGTATGCCAAGGGATACAGCTTCCCTGATTTCCTCTTCGGATGCAGCTTGGACACGGAGTATCATCAATATGAGGCTGGCCTAGTCGGATTCGCTGACGAGCCGTTTTCATTTTTTGAACAAGTGGCACATCTGGTCAACTACAAGGCCTTTAGCTACTGCTTTCCAAGCGACAGAAGGAAGACGGGGTACCTGTCCATTGGGGATTACCCCCGTGTCAACTCCACGTCCTATACTCCCTTGTTCCTGGCTTGGCAACGATCACAGTATGCACTGAAGCTGGATGAGGTGGTTGTCAATGGGATCGCGCTGGTCACAACCCCCTCAGAAATGATTGTAGACTCCGGGTCCAGATGGACATCACTGCTGTCCGATACCTTCAACCAACTTGACGCAACAATCACCAAGGCTCTGCGACCTCTGGGATATAATCGCAGCTATTATAGGGGATCAGATTATATCTGCTTTGAGGATGCGCACTTTCAACAGTTCAGCAATTGGGCCGCTTTACCAGCAGTGGAGCTGAAGTTCAACATGGGCGTTACACTGACTCTACAACCCCAGAGCTCGTTCCACTTTCATAATGACTGAATTATCGGGGGGGGATTTCCCCACCTGAATTGTATTCATTTGCCTACAGGGCTTTGCAGCCCATCGCAAGATACGGTCCAAGTGGACCAGAATTACAAGGGGCACAGAGACAAGAGATAAGAAAAAAGACACATACCAACATTACACAAAGTATGGGAGAACAAGAGGAAAAACACAACGATGAGCACCGCTAGTGTAATCTAATGGCATCGGCCAACCGAGACTAAACCCAGACACTGCACCGTCGACGCAATCGAAAGGCCCCGTACATCCGAGACTGCACAACGCCGCGACACCACCTGTGTCGTGGGGCGCATTTGAAGGGACACATGAGTCCGAGACGGCGCCACGGCACCTCCATGCCACCGGTGTAGTCGAAGGGCATCGCCAAGCAAACCAGCCCATGACACTGCACCGTCGACGCAATTGAAAGCAACCACGCAACCGAGACTGCACAACGCCACGACACCACCTGTGTCGGGGGTACATTCGAAAGGTTGCGTGAGGCCAAGACGACGCCACGGCCCCCTGTGTGCCACCGGTGTAGTCGCTGGGCACCGCCTAGCAGAGACACACCAAGGAGCACTCAAGCACGACACACACCACCGTCCACCCCAGACCGGCCACACCACCGCCACCATCCGCACCAACCCACAACCACCAACCGCAAACCGGTAAAACACCATCCCAGACCTTAGGCGAGCAACATGGAGCAGCATCTCCAAGACAGACGCCACCAAGGTGGTAACGACATCGAGGATGTCGCCGTCGTCCGATCCAGGAGCTGGATCAAGGGCTTTCACCCGGAGAATGAACAGAGTAGGCGAGGAACACAACGAAGAAGCGGTTCTGAGGACCCCCGCGTCGCTCCGCTTGGGCGACTCGAGGGATAGTTCAGGCGCCGCCGCCGACCCCCTCCCTTGCGCCCCCTCTCCTCCGCCGCTGCCGCTGGCCTCGCCGCGGTGGCGGCGGCCCCCTGGCTCCGAAGGTGCCTTGGGGAGAGCCCGCGGTGGACGCGTGGGTGGCTGGTTCGTCGGGGTCATCTGCCTAGCTCCGCGTCGAGGGCGGGCGGTATGCGCTCGGGGATGCAGGGTGGCGTCGAGGTGGCGCGGGCCTTGCTCGCAGGCGCATGGCCGTGGCGCATGCGGGCGGCCCCCCGGCGGCGGATCTGGCCGGCGCGCCGGATCTAGGCCGTGGCTGGCTGTGGCGTGGGAGCTGCTGTCTCGGGCCTCGGCGAGGTGCCCGTGCCTTCTGCGGCCACTCGGGCGGCGTGGGGGCGAGGCAAGGGTGGTGCCCAGCCACTCCCTCTCTTCCGGACAGATCCAAGTCGGGCGGCAAAGGTATCTCCTGGCTGCCGCGGCCTCCCGCGGATCTGACACCTCCGGCGTGCCTTGCTCAGATCCATCTGTTTGTGCCTGCTTCGGCGGCCTGGTGTTGGACCTGCGGGCGCTCGGTGGCCGCTGTCACAGGGGTTGGCTGCCCCCGTGCGGTGCTGCCTCCGGTCTCGGTTGCGACGTTGTTCAGTCTGGGTGGCGAGGGCGATGCAAAAGGGCGAAAGCCCTATGTCGGCTTTGGTCGGCAGCGGCGCCTTGTGGCGTCGGATCCCTCCTTGGAGGTGCACATACTTCATGAGGGATGC